TTTTTAATTAATAACTGCTAAACCAGCTCAAAAATCTCTGTTAAGACCTCAAAACATACTAAAAAGAAAAAACTTGCTGAAAAATTTTTAGGTATTTCGAATGATACCTTGATACCATCATTTTTTCTGATGAGTGTAAGTTTAATCTTTTTACATCTGATGGTATTAAACATATTCGTTATTTATTAGGTGAAAGGTATAAATTTAAAAATACAGTAGGCATAGTTAAACATGGTGGTGGAAGTATAATGTTCTGGGGATGTATATCATCTAAAGGTGTTGGAAGACTTGTTGAAATTAAATCAACGATGACAGCTGGAGCTTATAAACAAATTTTAGCTCAAAATTTAAATATTTCAGCTAGAGAAATGGGTCTTGATGAATATATTTTCATGTATGATAATGACCCAAAACACACCTCTAGACTTGTAACTGATTGGATTGATATGATCATCGATGTTTTAGATTAACCTCCACAGAGTCCAGATCTCAATCCAATTGAAACTGTATGGGTTTATGTAAAAACTAAATTATCAAAACTTGGTAAATTATAAAAATAAATTAAGAGAAAAAATTAAAGAGATTTGGTGTGGAATACCTAATGATTTGGTGTTTAAATATGTAAGAAGCTTTCATAAACGTTGTTTAGAGGTTTTTAAAAATAAAGGACATAATACTAAGTATTAAATTGTAAAATGGTCACTTTTTTTGAACGATTTTTTTATATTTTTTTATAAACTATCTGTAAAAGTATAGTTTTTATTTATTCTTTGCAGCTTAATTTTTATTTTTTTCAAAAAGATGTGTTAGTTTTGTGTTCTGTTTTCAAAAATACTAAATATTGTTTGTTTACTCTTTTTTTAAGTGGTCACTTTTTTTGATCAATACTGTATGCTGTTATTGAAAAATTTTAATTTAATACTGTATAACAATATATTTTTTAAAAATTTTAATAATCACGTTTTTTTGAGTAATACTATATATATTTCAATTCTTTTATAAAATCATATTATAATAGACTTGTAATTTATTATAGTAACAAAATTTCCTTGTATTTTTAATGAAATCTTATTTAATTTGTTAAATAACCAAGCAAGAAAAT